TTTGAGGAATACTTGTATTTATGCAGTTTGTTAGATGGTTTGTAAAACTTGTTATACCTATCACGTAATTAATTGTCGCAGGAAACTGTGACGGTGGATTTTTTTAGGTTTTTTTGTGAGACAGATTTTTTAATGGTCGTTGCCCACATTTGTTTTTTTTTTCCCTTCTTTCGCTTTTTTGGTTATAATATGGCTAAGCATAGCTACTCAATTGAAATTTAGCTACATTTAATTTGTAAATTATTTTGACCGTTATATTTTAGAAACGTGTGGCTTTTTATTCTAGTTTTTGCTGGGTGGAAGGCGACATATTTTTCTTTCTTGTTGCTCCCAGTTAGTAGCAGAGATTACTTTTTATGTGCTGGCCGCTTTATCGTCGTGATATCTGCTGTTGTAGAGTTCTTCTCAAAACCTTTATTTTCAGGTTCTTTGCTGGTGAAAAATTTAATTGAAGACCATGTCAGTATCTGCTTCTAATATTGAAGTTGTACAAATCGATAGTTTGGTAATTTATGTTTGTAATAAAGAAGTTTGAATATTTTTGTAGCTTTCGTCTTCTGTAGTTTATTGGCTGCCATAAGGACTAGTTATTTTGGTTCAATGTCTGAATTTATTCGCTGTTTAGGTTGTTATGAAAATAGTGAAGCATGTGGATTCAGAACTGTATGCAGGAATGAGTGAAGTGGCTGGGGAAGCTTGCCAAGGATATTTGACTGGTGAGTTTTTGTTGTTAGTGTTGACCGTAAACCAGTCTCTTTTACCTTCTGTTTTATTGTCTTTTGCCATATTACTTTGTAGGGCTGGTATCAATGGAGGAAAGAAAATTAGAAATAACGAACTGTTTTCCGACGGCTCGTACGGAACCAGCCATGGACGGAGACGAAAACGCTCCAACTAATTTACAATATGAAGAGCAAAGACAAATCGAAATGCTTGATATGTTGAAAAAATTTAGGTTTTCCTTTTTTTATTTCTATTGTTATCAGCAAGGATGGTTCCTCCTTGTTACTTTTCTGTTTTGCTGTATCGTTTTATAACCTCTAGGACTATTTAGAAACATGAACATTGATTATGAGTTAGTCGGTTTCTATCAAGCTCATCCTTTTGGTGCCTGCTTTGCTCAGGAGATGGTAGATTCACTTGTGGATTACCAAGCTAGTGTTCAGGATGCTGTCGTCCTTATTTATGGTTTACTCTCACTTCGTTTCAACTTTTACATCTTATTAGATTTTATGTAAAATTTTTGGAATAAAATTATTCTGGTTTTCTCAATTCAAGGTTTTATGACTTCTGCATCAATTTTTTTTTTCCAGATCCTGTAAAAACCAGAATGGGCCAGCTTAGTATTCGAGCCTATCGTTTATCATTAAAAGCCTTGGAAATGTGTTTGGATGGTGACTGGTCCCCAGAAAGGTTATAGATTTTGATGTTTAAAGGTTTTTTGTGTCTTTTTCGTTTTTTTTTTTTTTTTTTCTTTGCATAGTTATGTTCTTTAAGTCATCTTTTAAGTAAAATCGTTTGGGTTTCTTTAAGCTTAGCTGTAAATGACCTTGGTTTATTTTTTTGGCTACAAGGATATTTACTTTAAAAAAAATTTAATAAATTTTTAGTGTCAGGACTGCAGGTATTAGTTACGAAAACATGTTTGAGGAGCTACCTATTATCATTAAAAACAGCCACTTGGGGAATGTAATGCTTGCTGAGCTGGCTTTGAGCACAAGTAAAGCCGCTCAATCATCATCAGCTCATCTTGAACTTGGAACGAGAAGGTTTTTTGCTTTATTTTACCACAGAACAGGCTTTCTTAGATTTTTTTGGACGGTTGACTGGTTTATAATCGGAACCTTATTAGGTCAATGGAGAAGTGTCTACGTTCGCTAATGGTGAATATGGATGATTTGAACAAATGTGTGATTTTATACAACAAATATTTAGCTGATAAGCAACGACATGACCTGAATATTTACAGTCTCACTCAAAAAAGGGTTAAATTTTGCATAGTCATAATTTTACCTTGTTTTCCTTTTTTTGTTTAAGTGGTAGAAGAAATTTGTAATGTTAAAGAAGAGTTCGCACGGTAAGGCGTACCGGTTTGTGCTTGTTAGGTTGCAGGCAGGACTCAGGACGTTTCATTATTGGTTTTTTAGCAAGCTGAAAATGAGCAGCGTGAAGCAAGAGGGGAGCCTCCGTTATCTTTCGATGATATAAAGAAAATGAAACCGCCAGTGTTAGGCACGAAATGTGGTTTATTGGAAAGTTATCTCTGTTGTGCAGATGCTGTTTCACTGTCAGATTTTGCAAGCGAGGTCAGATCTGATTTTATAATTTTATTTTTGCCACTTGCTTTTGGTGATGATATTTTTTATTTTCTTGCGGAGTTTTTTCATTTATGCTATTTCAGGTGACAGGTGAAAATGTTGCGAAGCTCTTTTTAGCTGAAGCGTTAGCTGATGAGAAGAAATTCAAAGGGACTTTGTCAAGTAATATATCAATGCGATAATGATTTAAAAAGTCTTAGTTGCTACTTTGTTAATTATAATTTGGTCACTTGCAGTGTTCTATAGTTTGTTATATCATTTTCCTACGCTGAGAAGGGTTGTGCGTCTCTTCCGCTGCTTGTCTGTGCGAGCTAGCACTGTTGTAGTTAGTAGATGGTTCTTGAGTACTTCTTGGGGCAGTGTACAACGGTATTTCCATCTTTTGATTACTTGTAAGGGACAGTTCTGGTTTATTTATAAGTTTTACTTTGCAGTAAGTTTGGAAGTCAGCAGTATAATAGGCAGTCATCAAGAGTTTTGTTATTGTTGGTTATAGATCTTCCTACTTTTCTTGCTCTATCTTGTCTTATGGATCCCTCTTTGCTTTTTTTAGCAAAAAAAAAGAAGATTGTTACCTTATAAAAAGTATACGTTCAGTATCTTATGATAATTTGAATTAGTAACGTTTCACTGAGGATTATACATCGCAGCTTTATTGCAGCATTGAAGTATCTCGGCTGAGTCTCAGCTTCTTTTCGTGTTATTAATTAAAGTACTTAGTCAGTAACTGTCTCCTTCCTTAGCCTATTTTGAACCAGAAAAAGGGGGATTTTCTTTCGAATTTGGTCTTGAAATAGTTATTCTAAATGCAGAAAAACATTTGTATTTCACGGGTGGTTCTCTTTTTTTTCAGTTTATTGATAAAAATTATGATGCAGCTATTTTAGAAGCGGTAGGAAGATTAAAAATTGGCTGGCTATTTGTTTTTCTTTGTAAGACATTTCACTGTCATTGGTGATGTTTAATGCGGAATGCATCTGAAGTTTTTTTGGGCATGAAATTGGTCTTTACTGTGGCTAAAATTGTTTGTAGTTCTACCACATCTTTAATTTTTTCGCATGGGAGAAAGGCATTTGTTTTCGTTTCATTTGCATTGTTTTTTTGCAAAATTCTGTTGCCGTTTTCCTTAAAAATAAATTTTGATGTTCCGCTGTGCTTGATTTGTCGGTTTCTCATTTTTTTTTTAAACGTTTGGAAAGTAAGTGTAATGAGCAGCTAGGTGAGGCAGAGATAGTACTGCTCAAATTAATTATTTGAAAAATTCAGTTGTTTCAATGGAAGCTTCATGGTGTTTTTCGCTCCTCTACACAACATTGATTTTTTGGTGGTCGTTTAGGTCAGGTGTTTTTATTTTTAGTTCTATTTTATTTTATTTTTTCGATTTATAGTTTTCGGTTTAGTAATGTGGGGAGACAGAGAGAAGCTTATACTGCGGTATTTTTTGAATTATTAAGAATTTCTGTTAAAATATAACGATGGAACATTCTTTAGGCAGTAAGTGTGGTAAGTGCCAAATTTTTAATTGGATGGCTGATGTGTTGTTGTTTGAAAGGCAAGATTCCGGAGGTTGGTCAAAAACGGAATTGGGAGGTGGAAAGTTGTTGGCAAGTTTGCTCCATGTGACTGTTTTTGGAAGTGATGGTGTAAATAATTGAAAAAGTGATGCAGAGTGTTGATAATTAAGAAAAAAAAAGCAGTCGTTTGTGGTGCAAGCCGAGGCTTACTAGAACTGTGGCAGTCTTGGTGGTTATGAGTTAACGTTTGATAACTGTGCAGATAATGGCTTTTATGCCGAATTGGTGGATTATTAAGTGGCAGTATTATTGGGTAATCTAGTCGGTAACAGAAGAAGCGAGTAGATCACGGACAATTACCCAAATGTACTAGGAAATTTGAATTGCAATAGGCAGTGAACTCATCTAATGATTGGCAGTTGTTTTTTGACTTCAAGGAGTTTTTTGCTTGAACAGTGTTAGAAAAAAAAATGACGAGCAGTTTTGTTTGTGTTTTCGCTTTATTTTTTCTCGATAATCTGCTAAGTTTTAAAAGCACTAGCATATTTTGCTTGCTATTTGAGCAGGAAAAGTGTATCATCGGCAGATCAAAACGTTTGAACAGCTCGGAAGAAGATGGAATTGGAATTTTTTTCATTATTTTTTCTTTCTGTTTCTATTTTGATTCTACTGTTTTAAACATTTTCTGCCGTTAAAATCACTCAGAAAAATGTATTTTGCCATAGTAGAAGCTATCAGGTCTTTTGTTTTATTCTGACCTCCCATATTTTCCAATTCATTTTATTTGCCTATTTAACATAAGCATTTGGTTTTTTTTTTTCTGCTGAATTTCCTTTTGTTATTTATAGAAAAAAAAGCAAATTATTCCGTTAGTTAATGCAGCAAAAAATTGAACAAGGAGAATCTCTGGAAATGCTAATGATGCCATAATTTGGTTAAATATACCGTCCCAGTATTGGTTGTAACGTAAGTCACTTCTCGCTGTGAAGGAGGGAGCCACGGTAACAAAGAAACAACTGGTAATTGTGTTCAATCAATTATTAGTGCCTCAAAATCGTTGACGATTACTTTACATTTGGTTTTGCTTTTTTAAATACTTTTTTGATTCTTGTTTATGGCTTTTCTGGTTTTTTTTTCTTCGTATAGCAAAACATTTATTAAATTGTAGTTTAGATGTTCATCCTTACTTTAGTTTAGCCAGTAATTTTTTTTTTAATCCAACTCTTTCTAGTAATCAAATGTCTTTGTTCTCTCGAGAGTTTGATGCGTACGCATATATTAACTGACCACTGTCTTTCAATTTTTTTTTTTTTTTTTTTTACGTATAGATCTGTGTTTCTAGAACATTTGGCGTACTGCTTTCTGGCAAAGATAATATCTTCAGTCGTTCAAGCTTATTTCTGTCTCCCCCTCCGTCTCTCAAAAGCAGATCGTTTACGCAGCCGGTTGTCAACGCCTTTACTTGTTATGAGTAAGGGCTGGACGGAAAACATTTATGTAACAGTTTACTATTCGTAAAACTTCTACTGAGCAAAAAAGGTAGTCGTAGAAGTAGTGTTAGATGCTTTTGCTAAGACATTTGTGCAATGCACTGCAACTTTTGAGAGTCATCCTGAAATCTTTGATTGTTCAGCTATCGTCCAAAGCCTTTCTTGTCTAATTTGAAAATCACGGGGCGAAGCTACTCCTCATTTTTCTCTTCGCTATCGTTATTGGATGACAATAACCGCGCCTGTTGGAGTAGAAGGATTTGTTGATTAGTATCTATCCGTTTAAGAATTTTTTGTTCGGAGACTTTTGGCAAAAGTGTCTAATTGCATCTTTGCCAGTCTGTGATGAAAAGAGCGTAACCAATAACTGTTTAAGGGGAAATTGAATAATTGAAGTCATTGAAAGCTTTTGTTTTATCAGTTTTAAAATGCTCAGATTTATGAACAAGATAAATAGGGGTTCAGAGAATAGGGTAGGTTAGGGAAAAGTTGAAAAGTGGCATGTAACGCAATAGAAGTCGGTGAAACATATTGGGAACCAAAAATTTTAATTTTTAGTACATTATTGCCGACAAAACTTTGTTATTCTTCAGTCTAATTTAGTGACAAAGCTAACAGTTTAGCATTTCATGACAAATAACTTTTAAAAACTTGTGGCAGAAGTGATTGTTGAAACAGTTATTGTTATACAGTGAAAATAGTTTTTGAGTTGATTTTTCTGTTATTTTAGCATATTTTCAAACTGCTGCTACTATTGTTTCTTCTGAAAACAGATGAAAATGGATTTGTATACAGCTGAAAATGTAAAATAATATTTTGTTTAGTTCTAAGTAACTTTTAATTTGTTTATTTTTAATTTAAAAAAAAAAAAAAACTGAAAAAAAGGGAAGTACAATGATTTGATGACAATTTTTTTTTTTGATTTTACGGAATAGTTTTAGAATTTAGTGTTGTGTTTTTGTGTTGTTGTCTATAGCATTTCAATTTGTGAATAGTCATTTTTCTTCTCAGCTATCAAAACTGATTGTATATTTTATTGTTTTTCACAGTTTGCCACTTTGATCTGATAAATGATTCTTTTTGTTTATCATTGA